CCGGTCCGCGGGCCCCCGCTCGCCACCTTGTCGTCAGCGCAGGCTGGAAGAGAAACACCCTCCTCCCGCGGAGTTCAAGCCTGTTTCAGGGTGATTTATAGCTGCGGGGATGCTGCTACCCAAAGCGAGAGGCGACTTTGCTTTTCAACTCCTGTAGCTCCCTGTTAACCCGGGTGATTACTAGCAAAGGTGGCGTTGGCCTCATTTATCAGCGGCAGGGGAAGGCAGGTGAAGTCGCTCGGCAGAGGAAGGCAGCGTTTTCCTCCCGCTCGTGGGTTTTTTGGAGCGGATCCCACTTGCTCCTCGGATGAGGGATTGGGGAGGGGGATGCAGCTTGGTTTTGGCTATTTGAGTTGGGGGTTTTAATGCCATGAATGATTTTCTCGGTGCGGTTAATGACGATGTGGCGTCAGCTGGGGGTTGGGGGTTCCCGGTTTTGCTGATGCCCTGTTAGTTGACTCGCGGTTTCACCTTGTGGTTATGGGGTCCGGGGGGCTCATCGGAGGAGCTCCAGGTTGTTGTCATCATGTATCAAACCTCGGGGGAAGTCACCGGGGATGGGGCTCCATGCCTGGTCCGGGATGTGAAGAACCAAGAGCTTGGCGGGGGGGCTTAGCTATTGGGTTGAGGACAAAACTCTTGCTCAACCTGCAGGCGATCCCGTGCCTCAGTTTCCCCACTGAAAAATGGGGACAATCCCTCCGTTTTACATGGGAAAGCTGCGTGGGTTCAACTGTCGCAGCAGCAGGGAGCTTTTCCCCATCCGAAGCACCAAAACCTTTCCTCCAAGGCGAAGACGCTCTCCGGGGCGGAGGGCTGCTCCAGATGGGCACGGTGCTTTGCAGATGCTTTCAAAACCCAAAACTATCCCTCTGGCAATGGAAAAAAAAGGAGCTGGGAGGAGCAGGAAAGCTGGAGGTTGGGGAATTTTGCTCTGCAGGGGATGCAGGGCAGAGCCCTCGGCTGAGGAGCGTCTGTCGAAGCGACGCGCAGGGAATTTCTCCGCGACGGGGCAGAGCCACCGGCGCATCCCGGTGATTGAGAGAAACCGGTAAATCTGAATGAACGGGTTTGGGAGTGAAGGTTAGCGAGAGGCTAGAACTCGGGCAGCCGCCCGCTGCTGCTACAACAGCTTTTCCCCTTGAGGAACTCGAAAAGAATCAGCATTTTTCTCCCTAATAGAGCTTCAAAACTCTGTTGTGAGCAATTTGGAAATTCCCGTTGAGTTTCGGGTTCATTAGCCGCTGGCTCCAAAGCGTGTACATAGTCAAAGCTGTCTAATACGGACGCACCGCACCAGTGCCTTGAATTAATGTTATTGTTATTTGTGTGGACGTAGTGGGGTGCAAACAAGGTTAATTGAAATGAGAGTGCTGCTTCCTCTTGATAATGGCTCAGGCTTGACAGCTAGGAGGAGTTTATTTTTGTAGAAGAGCTGCCTTTATTATCCATTTTTATTAGAGCTAATTTGGGCTCTATATCAAAAACTACATTAAGGGAATCATTTACGGTCACACCACCACCACCAAACCCGATAGCCCCAGAGCCCTGTCCTTTATGTTAATGTCTGCAGTTAAAAGACAATTCAAAATAAACTCTTCTCTTTTAAAGCACCCTTTGTTTTCTTCCTTCTCTGCTTCCCCCTCCTTCTCTCTTTGCCTCAAGTGAGCCAATTTAGTTAAAACCCTAATGTGCCCTTCAGGGAAAGGGATTTTTTTTTTTTTTTTTCCTGGATAGCCTTGGCTTTGCTTATCGCCGAAGTGTAAATATTAGTTTGGGGATGCTCGAACCGGCGGGACTGAGATGCTCCCGGGGAACGGAGGGATCGATGCTGCGCCGTAAGGAAATTGGGCGGGTAGGCAAGCAGCAAGGGATTGAGCAGGAGGAGCCGGATCGTCACGACGGCTTCGGGAAGCGCGCGTTCCCATCGGCAGCTGCCAAGTCGGGTCGGGAAGTTGCCTGCGGTAGCCGGTGAGTTAAGGATGCTGAAATATCGCAGCAGGCTGGTAATCGGTTTTTAATTATAACAGCTGGCAGAAGGTGAAGTTTGTGGTTTGAGGATGATGAGGATCCTTGCTCGTTCGCTTTTCCCCGGCGGCTGTCGCGCTGCTAAAGCTCGGGAGCGGTGAGCGCGGGAGCGGGGCTCTGCTCCGTGTATCCAACCACTCTCCTCCTCGACTGCTCGTGGCAGGAGCCCGGGCTCTTCTCCTCCTTTCCCTCCCTCCTTGGAGCATCTCTCCTCCAGCGCACAGGGACGAGGCATCATCACATCGCTCGTAGCGCTTGGGGGATGCCGGGCTGATGCCTTGGCGTGAAAAAAAAATCTCACGGAGGAGCATTTCCCCCTTGCCAGGACCCCACCCTCTGGAGCCTTTACCTAACCATGTGCTGCGCATCCCCCAGCCACCTCCATACCTATGGAAGAGCCAAATAGTGGGGACACCCCCTAGGGTTGCAGAACCCCGCCATGGGAGAGGGCAGCCAGGCTGAACATGAGCCCTGCGCCACTGTTGCCATCACAGCTTCTGCATCACCCCTTGGGAACGGTGTTCTCAGGCCTCGGCCACGTGAGGGTGCGCTCGGCTTAGCGCCTTTTGCAAGCCAAGAGCCCGGGGAGCAGCCACCCCTTCCCTCCTCTTCCAGCTTAGTCGGGAGCGTTGGCAGAAGGTGATCCTGCCATAGACTGGATCTAAGGAAGAAATTCTTTACAATGAGGGTGGTGAAACCCTGGCAGGGGTTGCCCAGAGTGGTGGTGGAGGCCCCATCCCTGGGAACAATCAAGGCCAGGTTGGATGGGGCTGTGAGCAACCTCATGTGGTTCAAGGTGTCCCTGCTCCTGCAGGGGGGTTGGACTAGATGACCTCTAGGGGTCCCTTCCAACCCAAAACATTCTATGATTCTATGTGCACCATGCCAGCGAAGACCCCGTGATAGCGGAGTTCATGACGATTCCCCCAGCCCTTCCCCGTGCTGTACAGAGGCAGTTTTCTTTCTGGCGGTGGTTTCATGCTTTCCACCCTCTCTCCAGCATCCAAAGGATGCTAAGGCAAGCGTGTTCACCCCCACCCTGGGCATATATACAGCGGGACCACATCATGTCGGGGAGCTGCGTTGCGGGAGACCAATAGAAAAGCTAAAAATACCCCTGGGACCAGTGGCTGGCAAAAGGCATATATTTATTTTACACATGTCATGGTTTTATTTCAGTTCTGGGGGTTGGAACGGTTCCTAATCACGAGTCGGGGGAGTGGGGAGAGCGCTAACGAGTTTCTCATCTTCTGCCCTTGCAGATGCCGGTGTGCTCCTACTTCTTGAAGGGGATCTGCAGCAACAGCAACTGCCCCTACAGCCACGTCTACGTGTCCAGGAAGGCAGAAGTGTGCCAGGATTTTCTCAAAGGCTATTGCCCCATGGGAGAAAAGGTAAAAGAGGGGACGGGCTCTTGGGGTCCTGGGATGGAGGCGCCTTTGCCGAAGCCACAAACTGGTTTTTCGCGCGAGCTACGGCACCGCTGGGAGCCGTAGAGCTGGAAGCTGCTGAACACCTGGATGTGGTGAAGAACAGGCCTGTGCCTTTCCGAAAGGTTATGGGCAAAGTGGCTCTTTTACCTTACAGGCAGGGAAAAAAAAAAAAAAGGAGACAAATTAAAGGCTGCAGCTTGCAAACATTGTGCTGGTGTTTCCCTGGGAAGAGCCTCCCTGGGGTGTCCACGTTACCGGAGTCTGATGCCCAAGCCAATAGCACCTGCCCTGAAAATTGCGCAGTTAAATAGATGAGAAGTGAAGGAAAAGGCTTATGAGCCCCTGTTCTACCTAGAAAAACCACCGACGTTAATGCTTGCTTTGCACGCTGGCTCGGTGATGGGTTAAAACTTGAGCCTTAGATCTTGTGGCTCAGTCTTAGCAGCAAAACCACCCTTCCTCACCTAGCCCGCAGCAACCGAGCTTCGAGCAGTGCCCAGATACATATCTGGGGGCTTCGTGGAGCCCACCTCCACGTCCTCAGGGCCCTCTGGTTTAGATCAGCGCAGTGAAGTCCTACATGGACTTTTATCTTGCAACCTTGTCCGTGAGCTTACAGCACCCTACATAACACGCAGAGCTTGAGAGCAAGCGGCTTTCCTGGAGCAGGGCTTGGAGCTGGCTGCCACTTGCTGGTTTCCAAAGGAATTTTAGGACTGTTACATGCCCAAAAAAATGGACTTTTGAGGTTTAGCCAACGTCTCATGGCTCCTCGCTTCTTTGTAAGCGTTGGGAGAAGCAGGCAGCAGCAAGCGCGGTTCCTCGGTGGCGCGGAGCCATGCGGCAGGATCTCACCTTTTCTTGCTTCATGACTAAGGAAGGGAGGGTTGGCTTTGCTGGTGTTCCCCTGGGAATCAAAGCGACCGTCGTACCTGACTCCTCTTTGCTGTTTTCCATTAATTTAATAATATTTTGGCCTCTTCATGTCAAACACCCCTTTGTTAGTAGAGCACCTGGTGTAGTCGTGGTTCAGAAGGGGCAGCCAGTCAATTTGCCACAGGCTTTGAATAATAAAGCAAAGGTGGACCCGGAGATGATGCTTTTCTGCTGTAGTTGAGGGATACCAGGCTTTTCTCTTCTGGTGTGGGTTCTGTGGTGGGATTTCTACTCATCCTTTGACCATTGTGGCCAGCAGGGTGAGGGAGGGGATTCTGCCCCTCTGCTCCGCTGGCCTGAGACCCCCCCGGAGCCCTGCGTCCAGCTCGGGGGTCCCCAGCCCAGGACAGACAGGGACCTGTTGGAGCAGGGCCAGAGGAGGCCACGGAAATGGTCAGAGGGCTGGGACAGCTCTGCTATGGTTGAGAGGGTTGGGGTGGTTCAGCCTGGAGAGAAGGCGGCTCTGGGGAGACCTGAGTGTGGCCTTGCCATGCTTAAAGGGGGCTTCTAAGAAAGATGGGGACAGACTTTTTAGCAGGGCCTGTAGCAATAGGACAAGGGGTGATGGTTTTAAGCTAAAAGAGGGGAGATTCAGACTGGATCTAAGGAAGAAACTTTTACCCTGAGGGTGATAAAACACTGGCCCAGATTGCCCAGAGAGGTGGTGGATGCCTCATCCTTGGAACCATGCAAGGTCAGGTTGGACAGGGCTCTGAGCAACCTGATCTGGTTGGGGATGTCCCTGCTCATGGCAGAGGGGTTGGACGAGATGACCTTGAATGGTGTCTTCCAACACAACCTGTTCTGTGATTCTATGATTTGCTGTGCAACCTTGGCCCATCTCTATGAACCCAGCTGGAGAATGGGAGTCATCTTCTTCCCTCGGTGTCCTTCTCTCCGGGGAGTTTGCTAGTCGCCTCTAGGGCATGTTTGATATGGAAGAAAGCATCACATCCATGTCCTGGCTTGGTTCGGCCGCTTCCATGAGCCGACAGCAAAGCGAACAGGAGGAGGCAGTGAAAATCTCTTCCTTGAGCTGGAGACTCCAGGTACCACATTGAAAACCCGACAGGAACTTCGCAAGCGCTGCTTTAAATCGGCTCTTCGGCTGAAAAAACGAACCGCTAATGAAACGATCATTTTGTTTGCCTCCAGTCTGCCAGCTTGCAGGGCACCATCCCAAATACGCCCCAGCGGGCCTATGGAACAATATTATTTTATTGCATTTAATAGATAATGCATGAATAAGTGTCTGCCTAAGCACGGTTTTGCTTAGACTTGCTGCTCCTGGAGATTTCCAACTCCCTCGTGATTTTGGCTGCTTTTCACCGGGGAAGGTTGCTGGGATGAGCAGTCAGATGCTTGGATCCGTGTACTTCTCTGGACAGGAGCCCCAAAGGGCTCTTCTCCGCCTTTTCTCCATCCCTGTAGCTCTCGTTGGCAGAGGTACCACCCAACGAGTGAAGCCCTAGGTGCTCAGCGCCCATCACCGTGGCGTCATCGTGCAAAGCCACTGGCCTGTCCCAGAACCCAAACGCAACAGCGGATGATGCCTTCTGCAAGGCAAAGCCATCCTTTCCCGAGGAGAAACCGCTACGGAGCAAAAAAACAGGCAAAAAGAAGAGGGGAAAAAAAAAAAAGCCAAAAGTGAGAGCTTTAAGGAAAGCAAGACATCAGCAGGAGCAGAGGGGAACGCTAATAACTTAGGCCGTGCCTAATTACTTTTTGTGGCAGCGCGTGGAGGGGACTGCGTGCGGGATAAACATCTCCTCCGAAGGAAAACACGGGCATCCTGCCACCTCCCTCCAGCCCAGCGCTAGCCATGCAGGCAGGGTCCCTACAATTATTTTTAAAATATTCCCATTTAAATGAAAATATAAAAAGAGATATTTAGAATATTTATTCTATTAGTAAAAGTGCTTACCGTGTCACTTTTGGAGTGTCAGAAAAGCATTCTCCTACAGATGATGGATAGCAGCCTGTAATTATATATGGGGAGAAATTGCTGAGCGGGCCATATTTAACTGGGGAGGAGAAATACCAGCTTGGGCCATTAAGGGTTAATTTTATTCTCTAAATAATATAACATCCTTTCCGAGGAGAAAACCCTACGGAGCAAAAAAACAGGCAAAAAGAAGAGGGGAAAAAAAAAAAAAGCCAAAAGTGAGAGCTTTAAGGAAAGCAAGACATCAGCAGGAGCAGAGGGGAACGCTAATAACTTAGGCCGTGCCTAATTACTTTTTGTGGCAGCGCGTGGAGGGGACTGCGTGCGGGATAAACATCTCCTCCGAAGGAAAACACGGGCATCCTGCCACCTCCCTCCAGCCCAGCGCTAGCCATGCAGGCAGGGTCCCTACAATTATTTTTAAAATATTCCCATTTAAATGAAAATATAAAAAGAGATATTTAGAATATTTATTCTATTAGTAAAAGTGCTTACCGTGTCACTTTTGGAGTGTCAGAAAAGCATTCTCCTACAGATGATGGATAGCAGCCTGTAATTATATATGGGGAGAAATTGCTGAGCGGGCCATATTTAACTGGGGAGGAGAAATACCAGCTTGGGCCATTAAGGGTTAATTTTATTCTCTAAATAATATAAAAAGTGCTGAGTCCGTGCCTTTGCTCGAAGTAGAAAGTCCTCAAAAGGACCCCGGAGAGTTTATAATATTCTACTGAATCAAGTAAAAATGTTAACCTTGCTTCATAAAACGATGGCTTGTTAAAGATGCGCAGTCCCTTTTCTTTTGAATAATTTAGGATGGGAGTAAATCTTCTCTCGTTCTCCTTCTCCCTGTCCGAGGAACGGCGGGGGC